ATAGGGTTACCAACGGCATTTTCGGGTTTTGAACATCTGTGAAATTTGAACAATTTATTGTCGAATAATCTTGGTTCTGTTGACATAATCCATAAGCGAATCGGTTTGGGTTTTGTCATTTACAATGCTTTCTATTCTCAGTTTTTCATAACAACATTTGCTGCTAAAATATATGGAAGAGCAAGTCCTAACAAATCGTACTCACTCGACACTTGGCTGAGTACCATTCTTGGATTAAATGATGAAGGAGTACAGCTTCAATCTGTGATTTTATTACATATACTCCCTTCGGGACCTTTATTACTTAGGAGAAACGTTAATCTTCACTTTGAATATATAAAAAAGTCTTGATTTGGATCCATCTCATTTCGAGAATTATCTCACAACAAACCGAGAGGCTTGAACAAATTGACTTAAACGATGGTCATTGTATGAAATGGGCATTTTCATGTAATTTTGTCCTATATGTTCACATATGTAGCGACATCGTTTGCGGTTTAATTAGACCATCATTTTAAATTGGCCTTACATTTGTTTTGTTTCAAGCGACACTTATGATTCATATGTAGACGAAACGTGCGTATGGCTTACAAATTATAATAAAATTAAGAATGGAAATGGGGAATGTGTCAAAGAGACAACAACCCGACCAAAGGGCAGAAAACAGCCCAAGGCCACCAATGGGTCTTTAATACAGCGAGAAAATTCCGCACCCGGAGGCGGGCTTCAGCTGGCCCCTAAACAAAAATGTATACTAGTTCAATGAAAATTGACGTCACACTAAACTCCAAAACATATAAATGAACTAAAATTAAAAACACGCAAGACTAACAAAGGCTACAGGCTCCTGACTTGGGACAGGCGCAAAAATCCGGCGGGGTTAAACATATTCTGTGAGATCTCAACTCTCCCCTATACCTCTAGCCAATATAGAATATACAAACACACAGCAGTCTGGTATCCTTGATGAGTTTTTGTAAGTAAACTACGTAAACATCTGTTTACACACCATTGATTCGTGTAAGTACTAAAGTTTTAAATAAATTTCGTGTTTACTATTTAATGTATTATCATCGAGAATTGGGTAGTTTTCATGTAAACATATTACTATAATCTTTGTCTTTTTTTCATTTTTCCTACACTTTCCAACCCAAACATAAGACTTTTCTAATTTTGAGGAGCGTTCATTATTTATTAGAAAGGTTTCAACAACACTGAAAATTGAAACATTATATAACGTGAATGCTTGTTTAAAAGATGCATCTTTGATGATATGCCAAAAATGTTACGATACTTTTTAACGAATCGGTTTTGGTTTCTAATGAAGTGTCTTATTATGCTTATGTTTGTACCATGTTAATACTTTTTCTGTTTACATGATTCCCTTTTTGAGAAAAAATGTTCTACTTCGATTCGTCTAACTCGGGTAGACTAGAGTTATACAATCAGTGCTAATGTTAATGACTCCAAAATGGACGATAATTGTAGCAGCGGTTGCTTATTTTTTTATGAACGTCGAAAATGAACAACTTCATGTTCAAACGTGTAACACAATTAAATTAAAGAACTTCTATCATTTATTCATTTTTTTTCAGTTTCAGTTCTAACCAGGCCATTATTTTTTATAATCCTCCTGCCCCGTCGTCTGCTAAGTAAAGGGAATAGATTTTCCTAATAATTTCGCGAAATTATATTTTATCTGTTCTATGGATAAACATCACCGGCAGTTTTTATGCATGTAAAATATTTGTTATTGTCAAATCACAACCAAACGATAAATCTTTCTTAACAGTCCCCTTTCTTTGGCTTTATCAAAAAAAAAAGTCACTTAATTTGTATCATTTTCTTTTTTGCTGTTCTTGTTTGTCGCCATTTTGTAACTTAGTTAAAGCTGCCTCAACTCAGTGTTGATTCCAGTTTTTTTCGGGTAGGGTCAAACTTGATTGAAACTCGAGTAAACTCGACAAACTCTACTCAGCCGAGTTGGACGAATCGATGTAGGTCGAAGTTGACCATAAACTCGGCACTCTCTTACTTGTCTGCATCCTAATATTTATAGTGGTTTGACTTGTTACCGTATTCATAACAATTGTTACTTTGTATATATTTGGCATGTCTACACACAGAAGCGGTAAGATTAAACCTCAGGAATTGGGATAGTCATTTTGTGTTTGTGTTAAATATATTATATGTACATAAATAAAAGCAGTCAAAAAAATCGGTGTGCGCATTTTCACAAACCAGTCCGCTAAAATTTTGCAAAAGTCATAAAAGTAATTTGGTGTACTATATGCATTTTTTCAAAATTTTAGTACTAATAAATGAACAGTCTGAGAAAAGCATGACCTTGTGCAATGCCAAAATGAAAGTATCGCCACAATGTAAGCCAAAAATGTTCATAACTGTATAGCCATACATATTTAGTTATGTTTTGAATTATCACAATACAAATCAATGTATGTACCGATGGAGACAATAAACAATAATCTTACTACAGTCTTAGATTTTTAACCGTTTAGAATAAGTTTATTCAATGAATCAATAAGTTTACATGTTATGAGTCTATTTACAAAACCCCGTAAAATTAGAACGTGATATCGCGTTGGTAATAAAGATTCTACAGGTACGTTCAAATATTCCGACCAAATACTTGTTTAAGTAACGGGTTTAAACTTCTTAAAGGACTTATGAAATTTGAATATCGTTAAACCACTGTTGTCTCGAGTTTAAGTAATTTGTAGTAATGAAATCCCTGACAAGATGATTTACAAGTGAGAGGTATAGCTAGCTATAAAACCAGGATTAATCCACCATTTTCTACATAAGGAAATGTATGAACCAAGTCAGGAATATGACCGTTGTTTTCCATTTGTTTGATGTGTTTGAGCATTTAATTTTGCCATTTGATAAAGGACTTTCCGTTTTGAATTTTTCTTGGAGTTCGGTATTTTTGTTATTTTACTTTTTACAAGTTATTATTAAAATTACGTCAAAGCAACAATGCGACAATACAGAGACGAGCATAGCAACAAGTTGGGGAATATACACATGATAAAAAGGGTCAAAGGAATACACTACCGTATAAAAAAAGAAGATGAACAATAGCAAACGGAAAATCTTTGAGTAGAGTTTCAGCTTGCAACAACAAGATTTAGATATATAAGAAATGACAATTATTATTATTTCTATTACATATAATTCTGTTTGATAACATGGTATGTGACAAGTATCGTATAGAGAGTCGAAAATTCACAACTTTCAACCAAATTGAAGAACCAAAAAAGGCACGTTCTTTAATTGTAGTCAAGGAACTAGACAGAAAGATCTGTTGTAGAACAGTTCTAGAAGTCGAGATGAAACTATCGACATTTTACGTTTGTGTGAGTGTGTGCAGTTTAGGTTGCCAGAACATAGTAGGAACCTTCGAATGTTCAAAAGAAACCTTAAACTAATATGTGGTAATGATATAACTGTCAGGTTGTTTACTCTAAGTGGAGCAAATGACATTAAAGTGGATGAATATATGATTTCGTTCTTTTTAGCTTCCGTTTAGTATTAACCTCATTTCATCATCACATTGTTTGCTGCTTTGTCGAATTTGATGTATCAAAATGGTGGTTAGGAAAACATGTCCGTCAGACAATGTTCATACTGTTATAATATTTATATACTTGTAGATTCCATTGTTGATTTTTCATATCAACTGAAGGTAGTGACTTATAATAAAATTGGAAGGACTATTGATCAAGACTAAAAATGATAACAAAGTCACAGTCACAGTCGTAGCATTTAACTTGTAAGTTTATGCTTTAACTGATACATAATCACTGATGTAAATAAAAATAACATAATGTCAACTATTGAACCTAAGATGTATTTATCGAGATAAAGAAATGATAATGCATGAATTGATATAAATCCTCTAAATTAATAGATTAAAATGTATCTATCTACATGTGTCATCTGAAATTATATGTATAGACTATTAGCAATACTACGAATAAAAGACCTTTTGAATTCTGGTAAAAACTGACCAACTGATCTTTGATTTGTCTCAATTGAAGTGTTTCATATGTTTCATGTCGGGGCCTTTTATAGCCGACCATACGGTATGGGTTTTTCTCATTGTTGAAGGCCGACGGTTGCCTTTAATTGCTTACATCCACTTCATTTGAACTTCGGTGGATAATTGTCTCATTGGCAATCATACCACATCTCCTTATTTTTTTTATTAATGTAATTATATGTAGTTTGAAAGTCAAAGGAGACAACTTTACACCTGATGCATAATGACGTAGAAGTTATCCATCGTACGCCAGTTCCCTTTCAACAACTAAAGTCTTTAGACTAACTGTTGTTATATAACACATGAAAAATTAAAAAAAAAAATTTTTGGATATTAAAAATCTATTTGGAGGTTTTAGATAGATTGAGTGCTGTTGATGGTTGTTAGTTATGACTTTTCGAATCTCTACACTACACTTCCACACATTTTCATTAAAACAGAAGATTAATTATTCAACTAGATGGTCCTTTGACAAATTTGAGTGCAAATGTATTGCTGCTACTCATATGAAGCCTTCTTCTGTAATGAAATGAAATTGGTTAATATGGTAGGTTTGTTTTCTGTTTTTGAATGTTATAACATTTTGTTTAGCCAGGGCCTTTTATAGTTTAATATACAGTATGGGATTTGCTCCTTGTTGAGAACCATACAACTGTCCTATAATATATCATCGGCCTTTGGTCTCAAGTGAATAGTTGTAGCATTGACATACACACCACATCTTCTTTATTTACATAACAATCGATCAACATTAATGGCGTTGTTAGTTTGTCATCGACTTATGAGTTTGAATATCCCTGCAATATCTCCCGCCTTCTTTTTTTCAAGAACCGAGAATAAAAAATTATAAAAAACTTACATAAATTCATGAAAGAAAACATGTGTCTCATCTAAACAATTTGAAATATAGCACTAGAAATTAATTTATACTTACAAATACTTAAGTCTTTCCTGGTCTAGCGTAAAGGTAATACAAATCTGAGTGTGGAAGTATTTAAACTGCTAGAATGTGTATTTTCCCATGATAAAAATAGCTATTATATATAATTAAACGTTCATATGTCACCTTCAACCCTTATCGTACTTCCCGTTTCACTGCATGAACGATATTAAAAAAGATATGGGCCTTTATTTGGAATTATATTGCGCATTTATTAAGGAAATATTAAAATCTTCAAAATGTATTTCATAAGCGTAGTTATTGTAACGGGAGTGGAGTTTCCACTGGCTTCGTTTTCCCATTGTCTACCCAATTTCTTGGATATTGGACAACTATAAAACCACGTAAATATAAACAAGATGTTTATTAAGAGACATACGTTATGGTTGAATATAAGTTACATACAAGAATAATAAAATATACGGTGGTGGCTTGTCTACTTGTCAGTGTAAAGTTCCATATTTGCAATCCAAACGGTATGAGCGTCTGCTCATTTCAAATCCTAAGTGTAGACTGCCCTGAACCCGGTAAGTATCGTCATACTTATAGTTCCTAGGGACAACTAGCCCGGCCGGGCCGGATGTCAGGCATATGCAAGAGGCAGAAAGTCCCGACAAGAATTATTACATGGCCGGTCTCGGAAGAAAGAGTTACAGAACTATAAATAATACTAACATTAACCAATTTCCCCAAATAAATAGTAATATTAACAAGAAAACAAAGTGACCACCATTACACTCCCCCTCTCTTAAGACATAATGTGCCCACACATTAGTCCCCAGATCGGTTAGGTATACTTACCAAAATTCCAAATACAAACACATATAGTTATCAACAAATTAATCAATTTACTGTTAATGTCAATAAATAATTTAAAAAAATAGTTCAAGATATTCAACGGTCTTTAACTTAATGTTCAAAAGTCACAAATACATCACGAGGCATCATCACGGAGTAAGGAATCTAATTTTAAAGTTCAAGCGGAGCATCCAGGTACACATCTTGTCCAAGGTTCCAGAAAGGTAAATATAGTAAAAGTCGTCCAGTAGATTTTCCAAATCTGTTAAGTAGTCCAAGTAAGTGTTCCCCAACATTTAATTCAATGTGGTTTATTAACCTAATAAATAATTTTTTTAGGGGGGAAAAGGGGGGGGGGGGGGTCGATCCGTCGAACAACAAGTTACATTTAACAACATAATGAAAATGACAGGGATATGATTTTGTGGACATTTGTACGCTCACGTAAGGCATCATGATGATTTAACGCGGTCAAACGGGTCAGAGAAAATGGCAAAAAAAACACAAAAACGTATGTCTATAAGATGAAATATTGAGACAATAACAATGGAGAATTCCATAATTGAAACTATAGGTTAACATGTTTCAAGTTGAAAATTGATAAAAAGATGTGTGTAGTAGATTATTGAAAAAAAAGTCCGGGTTGGAGGGAAAATGGGGATTCTACCAGGGATCAAATTTACATGTAATCAATTCTTTCTTTTCTGCCAAAAAAGCAGTAGTGAAAGGAAACACACATTGAAAGTATATATTCCTGAGTAGGTGTGAAACAGATTATTCTATTTAGGATCATATGCAAAGTCTAATAAGGGCTTGCTTGGTTGTAGATGTGTCATGTTGGTAATATATACAATTTTGCAAAATCTATCCAAAATTGATCCATAAAATGAAGTACATGTTCTATATATATACATACATTGTACAAGTTTAAGAGCTTTTCTGTATAACTACTGTGTGGAAGGATTTATTGCACATAATGAATAGTAGTAGGATGCGATCAGTTTTATACAAGTTAGGCGTTAGGTGTTCACAAATATGGTCTGGATCCCATAGATGGTCATGCCCCCCTTTCAACGGAAGTCCACACATGGATCCTCGTATGAATCAATCCAGACTCTATATTTTGTCGTATATACCGCACCTCAAAATGAGTCACTACTAGTTCTTATTTGGTGGTGCAGTGTCTACCTTACGTCACATGATTCACTCCAGGACGTGTTCCGTCCCCATATAGTCATGCAGTGCAACTTTTCTTCAGACGAATCACACAGGGACCTGATCTCATCCCATTCCACCATCCCGTTCATCAGATGAGTCACCCGGATATCCCAAAAAAGGATGAAATAGTGTCGACCCCTAAAGTGCCGACTATGAGAGTCATGTGTTGCTTAGACACTTTAGGGGTCGACACTATTCCATCCTGTTTTCGGGATGTCCGGGTGACTCTTCTGATGAAAGGGGTGGGGAATGGGATGAGATCAGGTATATACACAAGTTTCAATCCTTTCAGATTTCGAAACGTTGAAGTGTTTATATTTTACTAGTAGATTTCCAGAAAAGTCAAGTTGTGTTATATAGCTCGGAAACACGGGGATGAACCGTAACAAGGCACCTCGATATGACGCAGATCAACCTTTCTTCCAACATCTACATGACTTGGGACAACTACTGCTTCGTGCAACAAAAACATAGACTGGCAGCACAAAAAGTACAATAATTAAAAAAGAACTTTTAAGCATTTTCCTGAAAAAAAAATAGAAAGGAAGTGTAGTTTTAGGTTATTTCGTCAATCGACATCAAGTGAAATCTTTATATGTCGTGCATTTTTAAGACAAGAGTAATTTAGGAATTCGAAGTCTGTGTAAATGGCACGAGATACAAAATGTTTGTTAGAAATCATAATAAAAATTAAAACGTAAAATGTTTTGTTATAATTTAGTCCGTTACTTTTCTCAATTGAATTGTTTCATATTTTTCATCGGACCTTTATAGCCGAATATACGGTATATTAACTATATCAAAATAAAAAGATGTGATTAAATTGCCAAAGTAGACAACTTTCCACCTGAGGCATAATGACGTAGAAGTTAGCCACTATAGGTCATCGTACACCAGTTCCATTTCCACAACTAAAGCCTTAAGACTAACTCTTGTAATACAACACACGAAACCATACTACTGTCCTATAATATAGCGTCGGCCTTTGAACTCATGTGAATAATTGTTTCATTGATAAACACACCACATCTCCTCATTTTTATATAACAATCACTCAAGATTGATAGCGTTGTCAGTTTGTCATCGGGACCTTTATTTATTCTCTTTTTCAAGAACGGAGAATAACAAAATATAAACAAATGGTGTAAAATGTATGACAGACAACATGCTTCAAAGTAAACATATGCTTCATCTACAAAAAATAGAATATAGCACTAGAAATTACTTTATACTTACAGACACTTTCCTCTTCTAGCGTAAAGATTATGAAAACCTTAGTGTGGAAATATTTTAATCGTAAATGTGTATTGTCTCATGACAAAAATAGGTATAACATATAATTGTACGTTCATATGTCACCACCCACCCTTACCGTACTTCAAAATTCACTTCATGAACAATTTTGAGACAGATATATGGGCCAATATTTGAAATTATACTGCTCATTTATTGAGGAAATATTTTAAAATTCGAATTGTATTTCATAAGCGTAGATAAACTTAATCTTTTAGATATGATATTATACAGATAAAGTCACAACCTTGAATGCGTTGATTTAATAAAGTAGAGAACATATTTATTTAAATTATTAGTATATTTTCACCAGGGATCAAGAACATAATTATTTAGGGAAGTTGAAATCGTAACTTTATAACTTAATATTGTATTTAATTGTCTTTGGTTCGACCTGTTGTTATATTTTCGCTTCTTGACTTTCGGCCCCTGATTTTTTCTTTCCTTTTTTTTATATATGCTATTTGATTTACCCTATGTTTTTGTACTCTAGACGAGTCATATCTTACGTTGTGCTAGATCTGTAAAGTCGAATATATCATAGTGTCTGACACGTCACATTTTAATATCACCAAATCATTGATTTTTTACCTCTTTATTGTTTAAATAAACAATTTGATGTTTGTTGTATTTGATAAAAACAGAGAAACATGTCCCGTTTTGAAAAAAAAGGTTTAAAGCTATTATTTAACATCAAACAGTTGTGAAGCTTAATATTCCTTATGTCGTAACTACAATACCCTTCCCTTTTCACGAATGTGACCTACCGAATTAGACTATTTACCGAATTTGTAATTACATAAGCAACACGACGGGTGCCACATGTGGAGCAGGATCTGCTTACCCTTACGGAGCACCTGAGATCACCCCCAGTTTTGTTGGGGTTCGTGTTGCCTAGTCTTTAGTTTTCTATGTGTCATCTGTACTATTATTTGTCTGTTTGTCTTTTTATTTTTGGCCATGGCGTTGTCAGTTTGTTTTCGATCTATGAGTTTGACTGTCCCTCTGGTATCTTTCGTCCCTCTTTTAATCCTAAAGGTATGTCTTTTCTAAAAATCATATTCTAACTTTATGAGAGCATTTCATTGTCTCCATCATCATAGGTACACCAACCATATATTTGATTTTTTCGTGTTTTTATCATATAGTTATTACGAAAGATAGAAATCGTCACTTTTTTAGTAAATTTAAATGACAACATCCACCTTGTAAAGCATTATAATCGTGAAAAGAAAAAAAGATTTATGGTTTAATTCAACCTTTGATGTCTTTGTCAGCGCAAAACACCATTTAAATCTAACTTTGGGGAAAACATCAGATTTTTGTCATTTTCAGACATTTTCAGATATAAAGTGGATTGCTAAAATGTATGGTTAAAAGTTGGACTGAGTACAATTTGAATAAATGATATGGGATAAAATTATTTAACTGCGACATGTAAATTATAGTGTGTTTTTGTTGTTGCTTTGGACATCCAAATACTTTTACATGTTTTGTCGTCAACGTTTTAAATATCATGTAATTCCAGATAGAACAATGCATTACGTATTCTAAGGATCTAAAAAAAAGAAGCGAGGATAACAAGGTGGTAATCAAAGATCGTAATTCAAGGAAAAATTAGACTTTACCATGACCGAAAGCAAAAGTTGAACAGTCAAGCAAGAGTTGAAGCAACAGTTGGCAACAAGTTTAACATTGCCTATGAGAGAATTTCAAGTACTTATAGGTA